ACATTTTAATTGGGGGAAAAAAAAAACACACAAAAAAACCAACAACCAGTCTTTCATGAAGGTCTACGTGGCCTATCTTCACTTGATAATCGATTGTGTAGCTGGTGTACAGGTATAGCTTAAAGGAGAAAATTGCAGCATTTTGCTTATGAGGAGTAATTTGAAAAGTGAAAGTGAAGCTTCCTCACCATAGATATAACAATCAATTCCTTTAGGGCACACAAATCCTTGCTTGACCTTTTGAAATGAATTAGCAGCAGAGTCCAAGGCTTGGTATTTTGATGTAAAGGTTGCAGTGAATGTCATCTGTCAGGTCTCTCTGAGTTCAGGGGATGCTCTGGGAGCTGCACTGCAGACCAGCTTAAGTATTCCAGTGAAAAAGCAGACAATTTGCTTTTCCATGGCCTAAGAAGAAAGCCTGTCTAGAGGCAGGGAGGTAATAGAATCTCCAGTCCTTTCACAATTTACAGAAGATTTCCCTGTGATGGCTTGCTGAGCTCATCTCTGACTCTTGTCAGTGATACCCGGTGCCAAGACAAGAGGCAGTGGGTACAAACTGGCACACAGTAAGTTCCCTCAGAACATCAAGAAAAAAATCATTACTGTGTGGGTGACGGAGCACTGGCTGTGGTTCTGTGATTCTGTGATCAAGATGAAACTTGCTGGTGGAAAATGTATGTACATGTGTACAAGGCAGATCCCTACAGCATCTGGGGTCTGACATCCAGTCCACCAGCCTATGGATTCTTTGGTCTCTCATTTGCCCATACAGACACACACAGATGGATGTCTCTGGTCCAGAGCAGTGGCCTCACTGGTAACCAACTCCCCGATATCCAGTTGCAACCCCTTGGTCTCTATGACACCCAAGCAAAGACTCTCATCTGGCCAAACTTACAGGCACCCTATATTGCCTCCTGGCTTACCCAATTCACCAGCTCATCAGGCTGGATCTTTATTACTGCTTGCACAGAGATGACACACAATGTGCACACACTTGAGTCTCTCCAGTCACTGGCACATGGGCTTCTGGCCACTGTTTCCCAGCCTGGGGGCTGTCACTGAAACCCCATCTCACTGAGGTGACTGGGGATCCCCACGTGCCAGTGTGCCCCTCTGTTGCTTCATGTAAACGGGGATGGGTCTTTAGTTCTACAGTCTAACAAGCTCTGTCTGTTTTGTTAACGATCCACAAATTTACTACACTTCAGGAGGAAAACTGTGCTGCAGGGATGCCTGATCCTTTCCCCCACACCTGACAAAGTCCTTGAATTTTCATACCACTGCTACTGTTGAATAGGTTTGGGGCTAGGAGCTCAAAATCCTACCAGATCCTGGCAGAAGGATGTTGTCCCTATGGACTCGAGCAGACATGTCTAACCTGCAGCCTGTGCCGTCATGGTGTCAGCTCATCCCTGCTGAGCAGCCCAGCTCACACCCAGGCACAAAGTCATCGCTCTGCAACAATCAGACATTGTCCACAAACGATTCCTCTTTACTCAGTGTGGCCCTAGCAAGGCAAAAGTTTGGACCCTCATGCCTGGAGAGACTTCTCTGAGCCACAGCCCTCAGTGGAAGTCCAAGGCCTTGTCAGGAATTTCTCTCTTGTTTTCAGGATGCACTTTGTAAAGCAAACTACTTCCTCCCTCTTGCTCTAGATGAAACCTAAGAGCAGAATGGAGTCTTCATCCTTGGAGATATTCAACGTCTGACTGGAAACAGCCCTGTGCAGCCCCCTGTAGGTAGCCCTGCTTTGAGCTGAGGTTGGACAAGGCCTTCTCCAGAGGCCCCCTTCCACCTATGTCTGTCAGTGATTCTCCACTTTGGGGGAGGAACTCCTCTTTCTTTATATATGACTTGTGAATGGAAATCCCAAGCCAGATTGGTATTTGCTTTTTCTGTTTTCTTCTGCTGAAGTGAAGTGGCAAAAAGCTGTGACTGTGGCAGTGGATAGAAAGATTTGACAGAATTGTATTGATAGGTAGGATTGTTTCCAAGGTCATTTTCACCTCAGTGAGGGTAAACTGATTTCAGACTGAAATGGGAGATCTCAGTGCATCAGCTGCTTAAGATGATACTCACCAAACTCACAGGCTGGAAAGGTTAAGATGTCTAATTTTATTACTTATCTAACAAAAATGCCATGAATCAAAGTTAAGGGCTTTTTGTTATGTCACCACACCTTCCATCAAAATATCTGGAAGGTACCCAGCTCTTCTTTATCCTGTTCTCTTCATACCGGTTCTGAAACTGCAATTCTTTCAACTCAGGCAGAAATCCTTCACTGGCTTGGAAATAGAGCATCAAATACAGTCACTGTTATTATGTAACTCATTCCATTTTTATTAAAGCATGTCTGTGTGACAGCAGCTTTCTGCGAGCAATACATAAATGAGGTTTTGAAACTCAGTTTAAAAAATAAGGTTTTATAAACTTGGCTTTGAAGCATCATTTTTGCTACCTATAAGTGATTTTCAGACCAAGTCTGAAGTCAAATCAGTTTTAGAAGACGATCTAAAACCTGGAATGCTTCCTTCTTAGTACACATGGCAGAGTATTTGTTGGCTTGGAAATTCCCTTTATTGAAGAAGTCATGGAGAAGAAATGCAAAATCTAATTTGCACTTTAAACACTTACGGCAGATATTCAAGGTCAGACAGTGAACGATCAAATAAACTATAAATTTTATGTATTTCAGCACATTTGATCAAGACAGTCAATAAACAAATTTATAGTTCTTAGAATGAGAGACCAGAATACTGATTTCTTCATTTCATTAGCTGCTGCACTGGAGTCCCCAGGAGGATAAGAACAAACTGGACATCTGTTGAATTCACATTTCAGCAGAGTGACTGAGCTCCACAAAAGAGCAAGGGAAATCATAAATGGATTTGCAGAAAGGTGTTTTCACAGCTGTTGCAAAACTTAAGATTAACTACAAAAGATTCTGTAGACTCCTCAAATGAGAAGAAAAATGTTTTTTTAAAAATGTATTATTTTAAACAAATAGGAAAAGGTGTTTCCGATGACCTTAGAAACCTGCTGCATTTTCAGCTGATAAGATGGAGAGCTTTTTGTGTTGCAGATCTATAAAAGTTGTCACTCACATGGGCACAAGGTCAATCTGATAATGTTAGCTAGCTATTAGTTTGATAGGTACAAAGCAATGCCAGACTGAAGGAGCTTTATGCCATTCTTGCACACTTTGCTATTCCTGCTATACAGGTTCTCAGTGTCGATATAGGATACTCAGTGCACTTCTGATGGACAAAAATATTCTCCAACCATTAAATATGTCCTTGCTCACTGTGTACAAGATAACTGTTCCTTTTGTCTGGGAATGTCTGTTCTGTCTGCCTTGGTTCTGTCCTTTTTTTTTTTTTCAAAAAAAAAAAAGAAAAAAAAATAGAAGAATATATGAATTGTTTCTTTGAATAGCAAGGACTGGACTGCTGAGCTGCTGTTGCTATACAAGGAAGCTTTTCTACCATTGGGGTTCAAACTCAGTTATCACAAAATCACACTCGAGTTTTTCCCTGATGGTATTCCTGGATCTGACTGCTAAAAGTCTTTCAGATACCTCATCTGGATGGTGTCCTGTTGTGGAAATATCCTCCAGTAAATTGCGGGGTCTTAATTAATCAGAACTCTGAATGAACACGCAAAGCATCTTATTTCAAAAGCAGTATTTATTTATTTTTTCATCAAGATAAGACACATTACATACTGCATAAGGTAAAAAATAATGCTACAAGAGCTGCATTTAATTGAGATAACAAAAAAAAAAAAAAAAAAAAAGAGAGATTGCACTTGAGAAAGTAGGCTCTGTCCCAGAAGAATACACTAAATAAAAAGCTAGTGAGTGGCTTTGAAATTATTTGAGTTTCTTCAGAAAATGTAATTATTTTGGAGGGTTCCAATTCCACCAATAAAAATGGTATTTTTTTAATAGCACTGTTTTTTAAATTAAAACAAAATGTAAACAGCATAGCAATTATTACACAGACAAAAGAAATAAAGGTGTGGAAAAACATCTTGACAATTTCTGCTAATAAATAAAAAAGGAAGAGTTTGGCTGGTACTTGATTTCACCAGGGTCAGCACAGCACAGAAGTTTGGAAATGCTTCACATTTTGTGACCAGTTGAGTGTACTTTTAAGAAACTAAACATTAAGAGGGTAATCCCTATTATAGCAATCTCTTTTACAGCTGAATTTTCCTGCTGGATCCTAGCATCCACTGCTGCCTGCATCAAATTCAGTTAGCCATACTATTGGCTGTACAGCGTTTACCATGTTTCACACCATTTGCCTTGGTTCCATCTCCCTTAAGATGCCCAAATCAGTTTTCTAGTCTCTTTCTTACACGGTGAAAAGAGAGTGAATCTCCCACACTGGGTGATTTCAAACTAAGGCACGCTTGGGAAGGAGCATCTCTCTCCCTGCTGCCCGTTGAGGTGATGCAGTGTGAATACCCCCCAGGACAGGGCTGCTTGGGATGCAGACTGGGCGAACAAGCAGAGATGCGTGGGGAATGCCATGCACAGTGGATGCCTGATTCACATTTTCCCTTGAGGAGTGAGAATTACAGGACCACTCAGAGCACAAAGGCATGAGGCAGTGCTTCCTACCACTGATGCTATCAGGCTGGAGTGCTTAAGCATATTTGCAGTACAATGCAGTCAGAAATACATGCTAGAGAGAGTGCGCTGTCTCAAAAACAATCAGTACTGTCAAGATCTCACATGCAATTTTCTTCCCAAATTAGCTGAAAATTATGGAAGGGCTGGGTCAATCCTGTCATAAAGCTAGAGACAGAAAAAGAATGAAGTCTTTTTTAAGCAGTTCTGAAATAAGAAATGAAGCTGGCAATCTTTGGTTACAGTGTTGTTCTTTTAAAGTGAATTGCTTTGAAAAAGGATGAATCACTTCCCAACTCAGCATTTGGGAACATTTTTAAATAGACATCTGGGAGCCAGAGAGGAAAAATTAATATAAATAATAATAATAAAAAAAAAACCCACACATTTTGAATCTTAAATGTTAAAATACAAGAAGGAAAGCAACACAGCATTTCTAAGGGATGTTTCAGTAAAGTTTTGTTAAAATTATAAAAGAGCACTTATAAAATACTTGAGCTGATAAAGAGGCTGTTAAAACATTACTGCACTTCTATAACAAAACCGTATATTACTAAAACATACTGGCTTAAAGAATCTCAGTATTATACTATAACACATGCCAGTTTCCACTAATGTCAAACTACTTGGCTCTTTCAAAGAGGCAGAAACCCAAGAGGCAACACGAACAAGACGAACCACTGCAGTCTGTATCTGCTCTTAAATATAAAACCTCAACCATTAAACATGCCACCCCATTCTTTCAGCTACATTCATGGTAAAAACTCCAGTTCTTCCATAAACTTCAATCTGCCTGTGTTTCACTCTGAACAATTTCTGGAGCAGCATTTTATAGCCTTAAAGCTAGCTTGAAGGATGTTTTTTCCTTTCTCATGGAGAGCACTTTCATAATATTTAAAAAGGCATAGGAAGCTATGTCGTAGCTTTTACAGTGCTTATTTTATTCTGAGGTGGTGTTTATAATATTCTTGTGCTTGTTAATAAATGATGCACACTTTCCATGACAGACAGACATTGCTTAATGAGTTAATATGCCTCAGCAAAATGCAATCTAAAAGAAATTCACTGTTAACAGTTTAACCATGGCAATACACAATAGCTGAAGTGAAACAACAAGCCTCAGATAACTAAGATTAATGGATATATGACAAAGTTATAATAATCCATATTTAAAACAAACAAACAAATGAACCCCAAACCAAGTAACGATAATTAAATCTCAAGCACAGTTTAGTTTCCCAGTAACACAACTACAACACAAATCAATATTTTCAACAAACAAGTGCCCTATCTTCATTGCCTGCTTAGGGAGACATGGCACTTCTCCAGCTATGGCAAGGAGGGGACTGGACAGAGATCAGAAGCAGCCCCAGCCCACAGGGGACCTGGAGGGCCACATCTCACCACGCCTGGAGAAGGATATGGACGATGGTTCCTGTAGAGTCACTGTGGCAAAGGTGCCCCTGTACCCCCTACCACCACCAGTGTCCCAGCTTATGCAAAGCATTTACTAATTTTGGCACAAGATCTGCTTGAGGACAGATAGTGAGATTTGACTCTCCTGGTGTTTTATTTCATGTAATAAAGGATTTTTCTCATTGCACAGCACTCTTCTGAGAGGGGATGCTGGCAAGTTCATTTTCAGAGCTGGATTAACCAATTTACAATTGCATGGGCTCAAATTCTTCTTTCATTTATACCCACAAAATTCTACTGACAGGAGAGTTCAACAGGTAGAAATGGCAGGAGAATTTGAGCATAGGAAATGGTGAGACATTTGCAGAAACACAACAAATGCTCTTTCACTGCCAGCTTACACAACTTCTGTGGGCCTTGTGCACGTAAAAACTGTAAGTGACCTTTGAAAATCTCAACCCTCAGACTCTAGCTATAGTGACCATAATTCCTGGATGCTGATATATAAATGTATGATATGCTTCTTTAGCTGCCATGGCACTAATCAGCCCAGCTATGCTGAAACACAGCAATCAGTTCTTCTAATTGCAAAGGCAGGCTAGTAGCAAAGTTCAAATGATTAGTGACTAAAGGTCCTCAGAGCAATCCTGCTTAAAAGTAAATGTCTGGTAAGCTGCAATTACGTTTTTCTTTCTTTCTTTCTTTTTTTTATTTTTTATCGGGGTGGTCTTGAACTGCAGATACAATCACAACGATCGTGATGATCCAACTGTATATCTACTAAAGCCATGTTCTTTCTTGCTTTGCCTTTCTTTCGGGGATGCTCAGCCTCAGGGACAAATTTCAGCACCTGGGAGAATGAAGAGAAATGAATCAATTAAAAAAAACTGGTAAGAGATCTGAAGAGGAGAGTGTTGGGGAAGCTCCAGCCTCATCTGCAGCTTGCACACACACCTCTGCCCATGGATCCACACCCACCTGCAGGTTCACAAGACAACCTTTAGGCAGCCTGTCCTGGCAGCACATCTGTACTGTGGTGTTTTGTTCTTTATTTCCCCTTATGGAAGGGAGGGTGCTTGGATTCTATCTTGGATCTTTGATTTTAGTTTCTGCCCATCAAAACACATTTTTGTTACACTTCCAGCTTTTTCTTTTCTCTCTGTGACACCCTGCTGTATTGTTTGTCCTAGAGTTTTGACAGATTGGATTATTTCCTACCTCAGGTATCTTTGTATCATGCAGTTCCCTAACAATGTCCAGAGCTGTTCCTTTGCATGCTGATTATCAGGCATGTTTCTTTTGGCTTGTCTTTCCAGTCCCACAAATATTTGAATTCTTCTGACCCATCTTTCATGCATATTTCTGCTCTAAAGAACAAGCAAGGTTTTTTTAATACAATTTGAAATCTCCGAAGCGCATCTTTAGAATTGGTTCCAAACTGAAATGCCTGTAAAGAGGCAGAAAAAGAATGGAGCTTGCACAAAATTTGTACCTAAGTACCAACGAGTTTCTCTGGAATCTGACTAACATTGGCTTCTCTTAAAAATACATGCCTTACTTGGAAAAGTCTCTTAAGAATTCACTGTGAATAATGTGAAAGCAAACTACAAGCCAAAGCAAGAATAAGATCTTATGGAAATGTACATAGTAGAAGAGACTTCTGAAAAAAAACAAAACAAAACACCTCACCAAACCATATAGGCAGGATAACTGCAAGACTCAAAAAGAGAGTCAAAGGTTATAGAGAAAAGGGGCAACATATACAAGATGCAACAAATGAAATCCTATTTGCGTGTAGGGAAATAAATAATGTGAGAGTGGTTAAACATTGGAGCAGGTTGCCCTGAGAGGTTGTGGAAACCCTGTAGATTGTCAAAGTTAATAGCACAAAACCGTGAGCAGCCTCATCTAACTTTGAAATTCCCTGCTTTGAATGGGAGATGGGTCTAGATGACCTCTAAAGATGCCTTCCAACCCAAATTACTGTATGAAACTGATTTCATGAAAATACTGTGGATATGTGGGAAACAGCTATAATGTTGAGTCCTATCTCATCTTCTGTGATAGTGTATGTATATGAACATACTGTAAAGGCTGAGCAGCATGGAAGTTTGCAGGGGCATGCTTAAGTGAGCCTGCTGTTTGATTTGGGGGTATCCATGTAAAAGCTTACATCCCCATTCCTATCCCCTAGTGGTGCAAGCCAGGGGAAGGGAGTACTCTGTTTTGTGTCCTTAGTTTGTTGTTGAAATGGTTATGGTAGTTTAACAGAAGTGGAAGTAATTTCAAATTACAGCTCTGAAACTTAAGTGTACATTTTGATTGAGTACCCAAGCTGAGTTCAGAATAAGAACACTTTAACAGAATAAGAACACTCCCATAGCATTTGTCTTCCTAACTCTCACAGCACACTGCACAAAAAGATAGGCATCATTGTCAAACCTCTGCAGGCAGAGACTGTGAAACTATTTCTTCAAGGCTCTGTGTCAGATCAGTAGAACTACCAGAGGCATTATCTGGCCCTTTTCGAAATTGCTTACTTACTGATGGGAAGCAGGATGAGGAAAGGTGTCTGCAGCAAGTGAGCAGGTTCTATACTCCGCAGCCTCAAGCATGTTATGTCAGAAACCACACACTAGTGAGGTACTAGAACCAACACACCTCACCTCTTGCCAGACTGTTGTGAGGATGTGGTTGGCAAAGGGACTGATCATCCAGAATGGTTTTGCCTGTTCACAAGATGGAGAGAAGTCTGTCTTGTTTATGACATGCCAAATCCACTGGTCATGTGGGGAGTGGGACTACTCAAGTCACATGAATGTCACAACCACATCTTGAGCACTGAATAACAGGCCTCATATTGTCACTCAGTTATTAACCTTTTAGTACAAAGTACGTTCTGTTCTTTGATCTTAAAACATCTTGCGAGAGTTAAGGAACTCTGGGGAAGGAGAGGGAATAAGAAGCTGAGTACCAGATTTACAAAACATTGGCAGCTTTGGCAGCTTCAGCAGAATTAGGATTTCCCAAAAACTAAGTATGAATGGCATGCCTAAGTTTAACCATGAATGCTTGGCAGAATTGGTGGGGAAGGGAGATGCAGGTGAAAAGCCTTCAAGATAAGACTATTTGTTCTTCACGTTAATGCCTGGAGGACAGGAAGGCCATGGGATGCAACAAAAGAGATGAGCATTGAACACAGTATTATTTCATCCTCCCTTGTGTGACAAAATTCATTTCATCTATGTAATACCAAGAGGATGGACTGTACTTAAGAAAGGTACACAGATGGTATTTTAACCTGTTGGGAAGATGTGAATGCTTTCCACTGTTAGAAATCATAGAATCATAGAGTCATAAGGTTGGAAACGACCCGTAAGATCATCTAGTCCAACCATCTTCTCATTACCACTGCTACCACAAGCTACTAACCCATATCTCGCAGCTCCTCATCCAGGCGCCTCTTGAACACTGCCAGAGATGGCGACTCCACCACCTCCCTGGGCAGCCATTCCAGTGCCTGACAACTCTGAGAGAAAAAGTTTTTCCTCATGTCTAACCTAAACCTCCTCTGGTACAACTTGTGGCCATTTCCTTGGGTCCTGCTTGTTGTCTGTGAGAAGAGGCCAAATCCCTCTTCACCACAACATCCCTTCAGGAAGTTGTAGTGTGCAGTAAGGTCTCCCCTGAGCCTCCTCTTCTCCAGACTAAACAATCCCAGCTCCCTATGCCGCTAATGCAGAGACATGCTATTAAAAAGGGGGGGAGAGGGGAGAAAGCAACAGAATGGTAGTGGATCTGAATCGATTTTGAACTTTGACTGCCTCAGTATAGGCAGTGAAGCCCAATGGACACCAGAACAACCCACAGCACCACACTGTCAGGAAAAGAGCTCACTCAGGCTTATAAGATTATTACAGGGCTGAAAATAGACTGCATCTTCAAACATTTTTTTTTTATTATTTAAGAAAACATACTTTTGAAATGAAGTACAGCTACTGAAGCTCAATCCATGATAAAATTCTTTACTTAAGGAAGCCTTTCATCAAAATCTGAAAAAAATTGGTGATTGGCACTTTGCAAGATCATGGGTAGGTAGATCTGCTTTTATCAACTGAGAGCAAATGAAAGTATGCAATGGGATGAGAACAAAGATTCGGTCTGTATTTAAGCCATCACACCTCCTGGCAGCTTGGGGATTTTCCCTGTGTTTTATATTAAGAAACATGAGCACAGTATATGGGCTTTGCTGATAAGAGTAGAAAAATGAATTGGCAGGCACTTCCTCAGACAAGACAGGAAAGCAGTGTTTGAACACAGCTGAAATTGGACTGCTTTAATAACTGATCACAGAACTGATGTTCAAAGCTTTCAGTCTAGCTTCCATCTAATAGTTTTAGTTTCAGCTAAATACAGAGAATTGAAAAGAATCACGAAGTAAGGCCATTTCTTGTGACCACGGTAGTTGAAAGAAAATCCTTTCTTCTGGAAATAGCCCGCTGTTTATTCATTACATGGTCACTTCCTTCAAGGTGAGGAACTATAGAGTTAATGAAAACAGTTCAAAGAAATTTTGTTTAGGACACTTTATTGCTCCCTTTTTGATGGGGTCAGTAGAATTTCTGCTGTAAGAAAATAAGGATATGGAGAAGGACTGGAACATTCAAAAGATTTATTTTGTGTGAGTGAAAAGAAGAATAATTTTGCAGTTTTCAAATTAAAGGAGCAATGTCTGTGATTGCTAACCAAACTGCTGTGCCCCAGCTGTTCCTCACAAAGAACATGTAACTACAGACATACAGCACTCTTCAAACATGAGTTAGTTATGGACATAAAGCTCTGTAACATATTAAAAAAATAAAAATAAAAGTAAGACATAGGACTTAATATCTGAGATGGATTTGGTGCTTGTGGGTAATACAATGAAAAGTGTCAGGGCCTTGTAAAATTCCTCATGCAGATAAATCCATAGGAGTGTGCCAACATGCTGGACAGTACTTCCTTGGGGCTGGTGGGGAAGGAAATAAAATGTTTACACAGTTTTCCATGACAGGAGTCTTGCCTGCTGATAATGCATTGAATTTGGATTCTTTTAACTGAAGAGCAAAGCCATCACCCCAAAACAGCTTCTGGAAGCTGAAGCCAGATAACTTCAGTCTGGAATTAGAGAACACCTATTTAAGTCAAGCTGCCCCATCACTTGGACAGCCCACCAAGAACCTGAGGGGTTTACAGTCTCAGTTTGAGGACATCAGAGAACAGCTGTGTTTTAGAAGGTATGCAATACAAGATCTGCTGGGGACAGCAGAGTGCTCTCCAGCAGCCTGTGGAGCAAAGGAAATTCCCCCACCTTACCACAGCAGATATATAAAAGCACTTCATAACTTGATTTCAGGATCAGCAGGGCATGTTCAGGAGCTGAGAAAAGCAGGGCAGTGATGACTGCTAGGGAAAGATCCATCTAGAGATAGTGTTCAGTTCACTCTGATGCATACCCAGCACTTCTTCAGAAGAAGCATCAACAGAGGAAACTTCAGAAGATGATTCACCTGTACACCACCCACTTCTGGAAGTGGGTGTTAGGCTTGCTCTGTTAGCTAGGAAAGAAGCCCAACAGCTGACTCTCAGCTTTAGGTGGGCAGAGACATATGGGGAAAACCACTCCCTCCTTGCTGCATATCATTTACCTTTGAAGTCAAACAACATTTAGCTATGGCAGTCCATTCTGGGTGATTTCTATTCTAATAAAAAGCAAGGAGTAATAGGGAATTCAGACAATAGATAAACATATGAAAATGCTCATATAAATTTTTAACTTACAATCGTTTACTTTATGTATTAGTATGTGGA